TATAGACAAAGAAATATGGAAAAAATATACAGAGAAATAAATGAAGGAACATAAAAGGAAAAATATAGATTCATGTTAGTTTTTACCTTAGGGAAGAAGTTTTATTTTTCATGATGCTTCGATTGATTAAAATGTATAAGTCTGTCAAATTGCAGTTAATAACAGCTCAAACGTGAAAATTTCTAAGAAATACATAATACAAAGGGAAAAAATGAGTAAAAGTTTTTTTTATGTTTTTTTTTCGAATGGCAGGCACTGAACTTTATTCGTTTCGCCTTAGAAGATGCCAGAGGTGTCACTCATTTCACGTTACCCTGCGAGCACCTGTGAACCAATAGACTACACAAAATAATAATTTGCTTCTAATTTGATTTATAACACTGAACTCAGCATCAGGAAAGATAACTTCTTTTTGTCTTAGTTTCAGATCATATGCGTTTAATTCCGGTATGCCGCAGCCCCTTTTATCGGTAATTATATTAAAATTATAATTACCGCCAGAATTTTACTAAAAACCCTTGTACTTGATTGTACTAAGGATAAAATTGATTGAAATTAGGATACAGTTTTGTTGAAACGAAATTGAAAGAATGAATTAAGAAAATTGCTACTAATTAAACTTTTTATAAAATTATCAGTCTCTTTTTAAAAAAAATTATAACTGAAATTATTTCTGTAAAATTTAACAATTTGATAGATAATTATATTGTAGAAAACATTATAGGCTAATTTGGAACTAAAATCAATACACTTTTTAAGTGGAAAGTTGAAATCATTTCTTTTGTCGAATAGTGTTAAGGAAATTTACCTATCTTCATTAATTTTAAGAGTTAAATCTAGCAAATTAACTGAAAAATTTCAAAATTAGTCTCTTTATGAATTATTTAATTTGGACAAATTTACTTAGCTAAAATTTCAAAACCATCAAAATTATTAACCAAAAGATCATGAATAAATCTGAAAAAGGAAGAATTTATAAAACATTTTGGTTATCTAATGACAAAGCGAAACTATATTCTTGGCGAAAAGAAAAATATTGCAAATGTTAGTACTAAAACTATTACTCTTAGGGATACCATTAATTAGTTTAGAAAGAAAGTCATTAAATAGAATATAATTATTGTTTAGGTTCAGTAATACGATAAATTGCCAGCGATTAATAAACAATAATTACCAGCTTTAACCATCAGTTATATCATTAAGATTAAATAGGTTATGAAGTTTAAGCAGGTAAGTGGGTCATCAAGAATTGTTTGAGATGGAAGGTTGGTACATAAGTTTTTTTCGAAATCAAAACACCTAATTATTTAACCGTAATCAGACCGTTTTCAGAGATTTTTTAAATTCTGTGCTATTTTTGAAATTCAAATTGAGGTGATTATTATTTTAGTATGCTTATTTATTTTTATATACCATTTAAAGACATTTTTGAAATAATTGTTCTTTTTTTTTTCATTTCACTATTGACGCCACAAACAATAAATCTGAACTTAGTTGGATTGTATGGAATTTTGAATAAGCAAAAAGAAAAAAATGGTTGTTAATATTATTTGGTTTAATTTTAAGTCTTTTATAAGTAGCCTTTTATTAATAATAATAGTACTATTGATGTTAAGTTTTTTTCAGTTAATACTGCTGCTTAGTTCATCTTAGTTTAGTAGTAAAAATTTGAAAGCTGTGTTTTTTCAGTGAACTAAGGCGGAGAAGTCGCTGTATTTTTCTTTTTACACGGAGAAAAAAGTATGGGAGAAAGTACTGGAATATGGTAAAAGTCGCCATGTTTCTGCCTCCATGGGAACACTAAAACGCTTGGTAATTTTAACGGAGTGCTTTGGTTACGATTTTGGTAAAATTAGCAATAAAATATGGTTTTATAACATTTAACATTACTTTTGGTAATAACATTTGGTAAGTGTGGTAACATACGATAATTTTATCCTGGTGTCTTAGAGCGTGTCACAGGACCTATTTTTTCAATTAAGTTAACTTTTCAGTTTTGAATTTTTTGAGAAATGTGTGGTAATAAGAACTGTAGTTTTGAAAACCAGAATTTCTGGTAAAGCATTACAATATGAATGGAAACCCTTACCAAATTAATTATTTTTGTACGGTATATTTTGGTTTTAAATATCAGAATTATGATTTTTTTTCTTACTAGAATTCTTCATCCCATACAGTAAGGTAATTTTAGCAGAATTTGTTTCGTCTAATATTGGCATCTTAATCATAATAACGTGCAACCTTGCTGTAAAATAATTGTAATAAATTAAACCACGCTTCCGTTAAAATTGATTCTAAAATTGTTTAAGAGGAAGGAGATTATATACTTAGCACCATATTAAGGTCTAAACTACTTTAAGCCATATTCTGCAGCTAAATTTTAATCAGTATGAAGAATATTGTAACAAAAATAAGGGAAATGAACATTAGCCACAATAGAGGGGTCATTCTCACAAAAACAATCATTTTCACGTCCCCAGTATATTTTATGTTTGTTTTACAGCTTACGAAAAAAAAAATTCAGGGAAAGTGTCCTTCAGAATGCAAGCTAACAAAAGAATAAAAATAAAATTATCAATTTTTATTTTTTATTTATTTTAGGTAATTAAAATATACCAATATGTCATTCCCTCACTTGTCCCCACTGCTGATTTAAAAAAAGAAAAAAATTGTTTCTGAAATAAATTTTTTTTTTTTACAAATTCGTGTTTTTTATTTCAGAATACTGAAATATAGAATTCAGAAAATCAATTTTAAATTTAATTTCTGATAAAAATATTAACACAGCACTATTTTAAACTTTGTCCCCAGTGTTTCGCGTCATTCCCTCACAACAATGTTCTTATCACCTGCAATCTTCTTAGAATAAAAATATTTTAATAAAAACTTCAGAAGTTAACAACTGGCATCATAGAACAAAATTGCAGTATGTTTCCATCTTCAACTTAAAGAAGCTTTGCTGTGGAATAAATTTGAATGAATCAAACCAGGTAAAATTTTTTACATTTGTCATTCCCTCATGTCATTTTTTAGAGTAAAATAAAATACAACTTCATCGAGAAAGTGGATAATTATATGTTGCTTTCTTGTATGAATATAATTGTATGTGATTGACTTCAGAAATTAATTAGGCCTAACTGTTATTTTTAAATTTTATTGAATTCGTCATTCCCTCACTAGTGTATAAAGTGAGGGAATGACGCTGAAGTGAGGGAATGATTCAAGATGAGTATATTATTAAATTTTTTTTTGTTCAATCGTGCCAGCCAATTTTATTTCCCAAACCTGTAAAAACTATTAAATATATAAGACTAAATTATAATAAATATTAGATATACTTAGTATGTTATCATTTTCAAACTTTAGGTAGATGTAACTTAGATAAAAACATGTATTAAAATAAAATATCATTCCCTCACTATTAGTGTCATTCCCTCACTTTTTAAATAGTGAAAATAATTAATTTACTTATTAATTAATTTGAAAAATAAATTAAAAAATTAATAAATTAATTTATTAAATTAATTAATTTATTTATTAAATTAATTAATTAATTATTAATTATTATAAATTAATTAATTATTAATTAATTATTTAAAAAATTAATTAATTTAAATATTAAGTATAATTTATAGGATATATACTTTCTTTATAATGCCATTACATATTTCTATTAATATAAAAAGTTTCAGAGCTTTTTATTCACTTTACTTTTTTGGGATTTTATGAACTGAAAAATGACAGTTTTCGTGAGAATGACCCAGAGAAAGATTGCTATTGCTGCCATATCATTGTGTTTTATTATCTAATTATTACTATAAGAGAAAAGTCTCTATAATGTTTTCATGGAAAATTTTAAGCATGTAGCTTATTTTTTTGTTAAATATTTTACTGAAAGTGTGGTAATAAGAATTATACTTTTGAAAACTAGAATTTCCAGCTAACTATAAGCATGTAAAGGGAAAAAGTTACCAAATAAATGGACTTTGATTTCATTACCAGAATTATTTTCCCTTTAATTTTTATTTTACCATAAATGTGATTACCATACATTACGGTAATTTCCCCACAAATTTCTTCTCCGTGTAGTCAACATGCAAAATGTAGTAACTAAATTTCTTTTTTTTTTTTTTTTTTTTTTTTTTTTTTTTTTTTTTTTTTTTTTTTTTTTTNTTTTTTTTTTTGTATTTATCATTTTCTTTTTTTAGTTTTGTGATTGTTTTTGCTGGAAATTTTGATTCATAGTTGTAATTTTTTACAAAATTTTGAATTATGATAAATCTACTAGCGTCATTTAGGAAACAAGTTAAAGTTTAAAAACATGGCATTTTCAAATTTTTTTTAATTAAATGTCAATTTTGATGTCATTGAGGAATAAGTGATAAAGGAATAAATGAGCTGTCGCTATCGCTGGGCCTACTATCTCCGGTGAAAACTTGCACAGCTACTCAGCTTCAGTTCAGCTCAGACCATCTTGTCAGAAATTTAAAGAACGCCAGTTCGCAATGCTGATGGCATTTTCCCTATCATACTATCAGCCACGAAACTATGGAGCCTTAATCTTCCTGATACCCCTGATTTAACAGAGGAACTATGCGGAGGAGATTTACTTTTATACAATAGGGAAAAAAATAGCCGAAAAGAAAAGAAAACCTTTTTATAAAACATTGACGAAGATTATTAAAGAAATCGGGATTAATTACATTAAAACATATTTGATTGCCAGAAACATTAAAAAAAAAACGGTAAAGAGCGATAATGAGAAAAAACGTCAAATTTTTACCCAGCAATAAAAATGTTTTCCCATCTTCTTCAATAATATTCACTTGATTTTGATAACGTTTTCTCATCTTTTGATTTTCATTTCTTTCAAGGATTGAAAAAAAAAATACATTAAGCGAGATGATTATGGTGCACCACTAGCGCTGAATGATGAGTCTTATGTAACTTCAACTCATTGTTTTTATTATAATACATCCAATCAAGATATCAAAATAAACATATTTTTGATAGATTTCGTGATGAAAATTACAAATGTAATTCAATTTTAATCTTCTCTTTCCATTGTCAATCCAAGATCTATCTATTCTTGGAATTCACACACTTTCTTTCGCAGTTCTGCGGAAGCTTTATAAGCAGCTTGAAATGCTTTCTCAGTGTCTCGAGAGCATTTTGAGAAAATCTTGTCGACACACTTTTGTGCTATGTCAAAGGTTCTATGAAAGACAACAAGAAATAAATGAGAAAACTTGCAAACAAGATTTACGCTAATTGCGGAATAATTCAAATTTCATATTGAACCGTTGATTTAAATCAACGATATAAATTTCGCACGATAACACTTAAAGTTTGCTTTAATCTTAAACATAATTTTGAATTTGATTAAAATTAGTGATTCGAATAATAAAGAACTTTTCTATTTTTTACACGTATCAATTTATTTAAATAAAATCAGACGTATATATTTATTCCTGTGTATTATTTGTCTGTTTCATTTACTCCTCTGTTTTAAAATTAAACTTATATTTTTATTATGAAATGTTTTTTAAATATGTCTCTGAAGCATTTTAAGGACACTCAGTTTCCTGAATCTAATTTCTTATTCTACTGCCGCCATATTTCTTAATGATGCTGTACCTTGGGTTACTATGAGCTACAGCGAAATTGCTGTGAAGGAATGTTGGAAAAAAATTTGATACCTAACGAAAAATTATGAAACTTGAACACTCAATCACTGATTTTAATTAACATCGCTTATTACTAAAAAAATTTATTTTTAAATTTTAAGCATAGTTTTAAATCTTATACAAATTATTTGATTTAAATTAATAACGTAATTAAGGAATATGAAAATTTGTTATCTGATAGTTGACTATCGCTTATGATTTTAATAAATAATGATTACGATTATAAGTTGATTTCAAATATTAAACATAGTTTAGAATCTGATTCAAATACTGATAATGGATTTGAATTGGTCAATACACACAAATAGGTTTATTAGTATTCAATCACAGCATCCATTGGTCTGTATCAAATTCTCTGTGTGTTATTAAAAGTTGCAAATATTTAATTGAACTTATTTCGGGAACAAATTTAGTCTTCGCTTACGCATTTTTAATGTTTTTTAACAAAGGTTAATAACTTGGTTTTCTTCAAAGTTAATAACTTGAAAGAAAATTAGCACTTAACAGAAAATTAGAAAAAATGTATCCTGTATTGCTGATATAAATAAATGATAGACGTCTCTAAAGTTTATGATTATCAATGATTTGAAGAAGTATATTTTTGATGGTGATTCAATCTTAAGTGAAAGCAAAATTGTTCCCAATTACAATGAATTACGTATTTAAATATCGCTTTAATTGATGGCCTGTATCTCTTGATTATTTTAATTTATCTGAAATCTGCAGGTTTATATCAAGTCTTCTGATAGGTCACATATACTTATTAACTACTCTGTCCTTTTGTAAAAAAATCAGGATTGTTTGCTTTTGTTTAAAATATTTTGAATAAATTAACTCTTTAGAAAAAGATGCAACTGATAATTCCAAACGTTTATTCGAATCATCAGAATTGATTCGGTTTATTTTGAGCTGTCGTTCTATTTAACCCTAGCTACAAAATCAGCTTGCATGCAACCAATTTGAATTTTACTAAACAATTTAAGATCAATTAATTTTACTAAACAATTTAATTTAAAGCATATGTTTTGATATGTAAGTTTCAATACGTTTTGAATCCTGCAGTTCAAACCTCATAGCGTGAAGAAAGTAGCATCATTCATATAAATCTGTGGTTAAAAATATTTAACACATTTTGAAAAACTTATGAATATTTTTCTACGATCTGCAACAGACCGGTTGAATTTGATTCAATTATTTTTATGCCATATTGACAAAAATAAAATTATTTTAATTAACATGTTTAAAAGATATTTAATTAATGAAACTACCTGTCTTAAAGAAATTTAAACTATCCTGAAAATGTACTAGACACTGAAATGTAAATTTATTTAAATAATATTGCACAAAAACAACTTACTGGCATATAGTAGCTTCCTCTACGTCACAATGTTTTAATTCTAACCAAGTATCGAAGCTACAATTTTTATCTTTTTTCACAGCTAAATGGAAAACAAATAAGCAAAATAATTAAATTAAAAAATAAATTCAAACAAATAAATCTAACAAATAAAAATAGCATTTATTGAAAATTAACGAAATATTGTGACTTTTTAAAATGCAATATTCATTTTAAGATAAACTTTTTATCTTTTTCCAGTTAAATTATTTCAAATTCTTATACCGGAGTTTAGTTTAAAATAAACTATGAAAGATGATGCGTTTATGAAAAGCTACTTGTTTTTCAAAAAAGCACAAAATTCTCTATAAGAACATAGAACAAAGCAGATAAATAACCTGTTTAAAAACTAGGTATAATCAATAGAGTAGTTATTGATAAACTGGCAACGGTCCTTTTTTTCTTGATGCAATTTAAACGTGCTTAAAACATATTTTTAAAAAAATGCGAAAACTTGCATGAATTACGTACTAACTTTTTTTTAAACTTACATTTAAAAAAAGCGTAACATTCATTTAAATCAAGGGTGCAATTTTTCTACGCGCGAATTCAACCAGTATATTTCGTAAAAAATATTAAAATGTTACATAAAAAAGTTTATTGCATGCATTTACAATAATCTATGTATATTTTTGTCAATTTAACCGAATTTCACTTCGAGATCTTTTAACTACTATATATTAATGTTTTAAAACTATTATGGACTGAGAATTTTTTGTATTCAAAAATGTAATTTGTCGTTAAAACAGCGTTTGTTCTATTCAATCAAGCTATTGACTTCAGCAACAAACGCTAAAGTATCAACAAATTTTAAATTTATTGGCTCTGGTGATGACAATTTTTAATAAATCTAAAAGAATTAAAAATAATAAAAATTTATAATAAACTCAAATATTGATAAGAAATGATGAACATTTTCTAATGAACTCTAAAAAAATGTACTTTCATTGGCTGCTGAACCTTCTGTACAAAGATCAATTTCTATGACAAATTCTTTTAACGCTATTTCGGCAAATCCGGTACGGCAAACCATTGCAGCTTTGAGATCACATTTTGTCATATTTGGAGTGGTACTACAAATGTATAGATTGAATCATTCCTCCAAAATTTGAAATTCTTTTGATTTATTAATACTGTACTGCATCATTAATACTGTACTGTAATTCTGTATCATCCATTATTGATGCAAAACGTCTAGAGGGTGATTATAATTTGACATTTAAAAATCTAAAAAAAAAAATTATCATTTGTCAGAGTGGCTGCTGTACCCTCTGTACAAACATCAATTTCTGTGGCTAAGGCTTTTACCGCTATTTCAGAAAATCCAGTATGGCAAACCAAAGCAGCTTCGATATCACATCTTGTTTTTGCGGAACATGAGCTTTTACGAAATAAGAAAAAAAATATCGCAAAAGAAAAAAATAATTCCGAATTTTAGTAATAGATGGCGCCTTATTAATCATTATGTTAATGATTAATAAGGCACGAGTTAATTTTTAAAGGGAATAAAGCTTCTTATCAGGTAATATTTTATTGCTTCAGTTTCTTGGAATTATTTAGTTAACACTATGTTAATGGTTTTCGTTATAAGTGACAAAATCCAAGTAAATGTAATAAAAAGCATTAGAATTTCATTAGTTTGAATTAAAATTTCTCTGTCCGCTTAAGCTCTAAACCATTTACGTTATGACTATTTAAGTGTTAAATTATATGTTAATTGGTTTAAAATTTCCCTGTTAGCCCTATGTAATTTTAAGGCCGTATTTATAAACCTATTTATAAGAGACTTTGAGAAAATATCTTTAGAACCCCCTCTTTTTATCGAAACAAATCAGCCCCCACTTTCACATCAAATTGTATTTTTTGTGTTGTTCCCATACATATGATTACTTTACAAGTATTTAAAATTCCTTTTAGATGGTAGCACAATGAACAAAAATAACTTATTGCCTTCATACAATGAAGTTCTCCACAAAAACAAATAAGGATGGGTAAGCGACATATCAGCAATGGGATGCATCGTAAGCTAAAGGTGCTAGATTTTGAGGAATTACTTCACACGGTTGCAGTTTAAATTATTTAAAGATAATTCAGGTAACTACCTGGATTATCATTCAAAGCATAAAGACTCTTCTCTTTTAGGCCAGGAAAATTAACAATACAAAAGTGTTTCATATTGGATTAATCAAAAAGAAAGTTCTGTTGTTGATTTTAGGTGAAAAAAATCAATTTTGCAAATATAGTCAATTATTTGGACTCTCTTTCTTCGTGAGAAAATTATTTAGTTGTCGCAATTATCGACCTACGCTATCATAGTGGTTGTTCCCTAATTGGAAGGAAGTGATTCTCGGTTCTTCATTTTATAGCAAGATGGTGCTCCAACATATTTGCATCAAAATGTACTCCAGTTAATCAATGATAGTCTAGCTCATCTCTAGATTAACTTTGGTAGAATGAAAAGAACTGCGAAAACAGTTCTGAGGGTTGGCGAACATGTTGAGCAGGGGTGGTAGCTACCTAATAAATTTATAATAATGTTTCACTTACTAACAATATTCGTAGTCTCCGTCATTATGTTTAAACCATTCGGAATAACAAGCGTTTCTGGAATCATCAAAGCACTTAAAATCACATGTAGCTAAGCTAGCTAAAACTAAAAGTATATTGAAAAGTGTATTAAATAATAATGAATTTTTGTTACATAAAATATTACTTTAAAATATAATTGCACAGACATTAATTTGTTTTCAATGTCAACATTGTTAACACACAGGTATAATTAAGTTTGAATTCAGTCCAATTAAACTTAAATAAAAGTGTCTGTTTTACTCTCAGGAATGTAATTTATGGCTTTAACATTTTTGAGTTATTTAGCGTATTAGGTAAAAAATTTCCATGCATAACATTACTACATACAATATCATTATATAGAACTATTTGTTTTGCAAGATATGAAGAAGGTGGGTAGTGAGTATAAATGTTTCAAGTTACGTTAATCTCTCGCTTGCCAATCTAATGGTTTGTAGCAATGAATATGAGCATTAAACATCCTTTAAACTGAAGATTGAAAACATTTTAGCAAAAATGTTCATAAAAATATAATTGTTTTCAATAAACGCGGAAATCGATGTTATACACGGAGAATTTACCGTGTTTCTAGCTGTATGGCAGAGAACACCAAAATGCTTGGTAATTTTTACTAAAGCTCTTTGTTTATGATTTTGGTAAAATTAATAATAGAATTTGGTTTCATTATATGTGATAAAATGTGGTAAAGTTTTGTAATTTTATTATGACACATTAGAGCATTATATAAAAACATTCGATCAAATTTACGTTTCAGTTTGTATTGTTTACTGCATATGTGAGAATACGAACTATAATTTACAAAGCAGAATTTTAAGTAAACCGTTACTATATTAACGGAATTGGTTCAAATAACGTATATTTTGGTTTTTAATGCCTAATTTAAGTTTCTTTTTCCTCAGAAATATCATTACCATGCAATACGATAATTGTTTCTAGAATTTTTCTTTCTTCGCAGTGTATCTACAATTAACTGATTTTTTTTTTCTTCAGTTAAGTATCATTAAAACGCAGGAAAAATCATACCGCTTAAATTGAAAGTGATACCCTTTGTAATTTAAAGATTTAAAAACAAATATACTTACAGCATAAAATAATTGCACTAGTGAGCTTCATGTTATTCCACTTTAGTTATGGTATTGATTTTACTAACTTGACTCATTTTAAGTAAGATCGCGTGGGAAGTAATCAGGTGTTATCAGAAATATATCAAACAGGTGATATATTTTTTAAATATTTGCAGTAAATAAAGAAATTTTCAAGGTTATTAAAAAGTTATATTTTTATCAAAATGACGAAAAAACACGAAATGATAAATAATATTGCGTAAGCAAACAGAGAATTGAAATTCCCTGTTTTCGTTTCGTCGTTTCCGGTGTTTAACGTTCTGACTCCTAAACAAACAGGAAAATTTTCAGTGTTCCTAATATTTATTTAAAGTCAATGATCTGAAATGTTTTACTATTTATTTGAAAAATGTGCTTAAAAGCCATTCAAAAATTAATTACTTAAATGCTGTTTCTTTCATCGAACATAATATCTTGAATTATGGCTGGGTGGCGCAGTTGGTTTGTCGTCGGCCTTCTGAGCCCAAGTCTGCGGGTTCGATCCCCGGCCGCATGTAAACTCTCTTTACACACATAGTATCCCCAAGAGATTGAGAGCGCTGATTGGCTTTCTCGGCAACGCCATCTGTGACGCATGGCTATTTCATTCTGCCGTGCTTGTTATTTTCAGCATAGAGCGATTTTTATACTCCAGCTTTTGTGTACGAACTTGAAATGTCAGTTTTTCTAACAGAGAAACTGCCTTCTTCATTTAAAAATGAAGTAGAATATATTTCCTCAAATACCATTACCCNTGAACTTTTAACTAAATAAACTTTGAAATGATGAGGGAAAAATCATAATGGAAGGGATTAACAGTTGGCAGGTATGCATTACCCTTAGAAGCAATGTTCTAAATTTAGACGATTGCAACAAGTGGGTAATAGAATTTGGGGAACTTATCAATACGAAATGGAATTCTAGAATTTCCAAACCTCATGGACACAGATTTGTTTGTAGGTAAGTAACTAGTTTTGTTATTTTAAGAAAAATTTTGTATTTAATTTTTTGGGAGAACTGCTCTTTTCTTTAAATTTATGATTATTACATGCATGAATTCTTATGAAGCTAATATCCCTCTGATTTATTGAATAACATTGAAATTGGAGTTTAATTGCCTTGCTTAATTCTTACATTCGCTATAAAATGAAAACTGAATAATTTTCACTTGATATTTATTTAATTAAATTAATCCTCATAGAATTAAATTAATATTTTATTTATTTCTTGTGGATTACTAAAATTAAATTACAAAATTTTAAATTTAAGATTTATTAGTGGCGCTATCTATTATTATAAATTAAAACTAAAAGATCTGCATTATGCCTGCCTATTTATAACTTAATTTTAATGTTGTTTTTTTATTTGTTAAATCTTTTGTAATACCGAAAAACTATTAATTGACATCTAAGAAGTCAAGCAATTGTCTTTTAAGATGCTTATTTTATTAATTTTTGATTGCATAATTCCCATCAAAATAAAAGTTAATGATTATGAATTGTCCATTAAATTAATACCATNATAGTGTTACCGTTGAGTTGCAAAGTGTTTAAAAGGAGTGAGAGGAGTGATGATGATTGATAAATAAAGCTGTTGCAATTAGGCTAACCATTCAAGATTTTCATCTTCACACTGAGAAAGAAAGTATGGTCAAAACTACAAGAGTATGTTACAGTTAACTGTTCTTCTAGCTCCATAAAAGCACCAAAAAGTTTGGCAATTTTTCGCAAAGTACTTTGGTAATTATTTTGTCAAAATTAACAGTGAGACACGATTTTAAATTATGTGGCCAAATTTGGTAATTTTATCATGATACCTTAGAGAAGTGGTCTCCAACCAATGGGCTGTTGATGGGCTACCGGGGATTGCGGTTTATCATACCGAAATATTGCTGAGAGCGTTAGTCGAGATCCCATGATTGTTTGCAGAATATGGAATCGATGAATTCATACCGGTCATATGAAACGCCGAGCAGAATCTCAGCGGCCCCCCATCACAACCGAGAAGGCAGGCATGTTATTCACATAGTCTTAAGGGATCGTACAGCTACGTCATGAACCCTGAGTCAACAAATGATGCCATTTGCAGTACAACAAGTGTTTACACGAACAGTTTGACTACGTTTGCAGCAGCATGGACTGCCAGCACTGCGACCATGGCTTTGGCTACCCTTGGCGCTGCATCACAGGCAGGAGCACCTCCAAAAGTGCGATCAACGACGAACCTGGACGCAGGAATGGCATGATGTCGTCTTTTCAGACGAATCCAGGTTCTGTATACAGCATCATGATGGTCGCATCCGTGTTTGGTGACATCGCGGAGAACGCCCATTGGCAGCTTTCATTCGACATCGTCATACTGGCCCATCACCTGGAGTAATTGTATGGGATGCCATTGGATACATGTCTCGATCACCTCTTTTTCGCATTGCCGGCGCTTTGAACAGCAGTCGTTAAATTTCTGATGTGTTAGTGCCAGTTGCTCTGCCTTATATTCGTGGCCTCCGTAACGCTGAATTGAGCAGGACAATGCATGACCGCATATTGCCCGCACTGTCCTGACCTTGCTTGACACAGAACATGTTCGCGTGTTGCCCTGAGCAGCACGTTCTCTTGATCTCTCACCAATTGAAAACATCTGGTCAATGATTGCTGAACAACTGGCACTCCACCACTCATCAGTCACTACGGTCGATGAATTGTGGCATAATGTTGAAACTGCATGGAATGCTCTACCCGTCCATGCCATCCAATCTCTGTTCGGCTCAATGCCCAGGAAAATAACTGCTGTTATTACTGCCAGGGGAGGCTGCTCAGAGTACTGATTCCTCAGGATCTATTCCTCCAAATATCCTGAAAATTTAATCACTTACGTCCAACTATAATGTATGTGCCCAAAAAATATCATTCTGTTATTTGCATTCCTTCCTTTTGTAGCAGTTTTAACGGCTAGTAGTGTATATAAACATCACCAAATTTAACATCAACGTGTAGTAACCAATCACAGAAAGCATGGCAAAGAAGCATATATATAAAAAGTGCCCGATAGGGAATCGATGAACATTGTAATCGTTGGCATAATGTTGAAACGAAGCAATTTATACGACATGAGGAAAAACATGATCATTGTATTTCCTGTTATTGATGTAAACATTTTTGAAGCAGTTAATTTTGAAAACTATTCGCGTGTCGCCATGGTATAAGTATACCGTGTTTGGCAAAATGGCCCTATCCAACATCAGTGATGCAGCAAATGTGGAGCACTAGTACCACGGGTTATAGATGGTAGAGGTGAACAACGAATAAATGTACAACCAAATGATCACCCAGATGAACCAAGAACTACCAAAACTTGGTCTCCTCAAGGGCGGTTCAGCGAGCATCGCTGCACATGGGGCTCAATAGCAGGCGCCTGATTTATGCACCTCTGTTGCTGTTCATCGAGGACGAAGGCTGGAATTTTCATGCCAGTATTACATTCTGATGTCCACTGAGTGATAACAAGTGGCTTTTACTGCTGAATCACGTTTTATGCTCCATCGAATAGGTGAGCGTTCGTTTCCACAGCATGAAAAGTTTGAATGCAAATACCCTGCAATGATTGCCTAAAGAGTTCAATCTAGAGAAGGGGGCCTTATGATTTGAGGAATATGTTTCGTCGCATTCTCTGGATGCAGTGATCATTCTAGAAGGCGCTACTCACAAAGACAAGTACGTTTTTGTTCCTTTGGGCCATGTCAACCTCTACATGAAATTTTTTCCCCTCAGAATAATTGTCAAAAGATACAGAATAAAAACTGACCTCAAATAAAACTCAAAGGACTTCGAATCAAATAATTAAGAAAACTCTACTATTACGTTTAGTAGAAGGAAGATTTATTATCTCAACAACAAAATTATAGCATCGCCGCTCCGAAAGACAAATCTCTTACTCAAAAACTATTTACATTCTAAATAGGCACCATAGCAACCACAAAACTCTTCTCGTTACCATCTATAAACTGATATATAATAAATAAACCATTTAACAAAAATTACGATGGACATAAGCATATGATATTTTACAATAATGACATCTACCAGCAGGACAATTCGCAATCGCAACGAACTATAGAAGGCGTTGTTGTATGAGACTAATACCTGCGATTTCGATATGAACAGTCATTCATTTACTCTGGAGACGTCTTTAACGTAGCGTGTAAGATTGTAACGTTCCTTCTTTATCGTGGCTTATTAAATTAAAAAAAGAAAAATGTTTGATATCCTTTCTTATGCAAACGAAAACAAAATGGTATCTCCTTTTATTAGAGAAGGAATATCCAAAACACATCGGAAAAATATTTGTACATAAACAGAAAAAAATATGTACATTCTTATAAGAGTTGAAACCTAATGCCCGAGAAATAATTTTACTGAATTTAATGATATAACATGAAAGGCCCATTTAAGTTTTACATTCCATAGTTTTAAGAATCATATTACTTCAAAAATTAAAATGAACAAAAAGTATACAAAAGCCTCATAATATTATGAGATTTAATTTTGTAAAAAGAGTTTCTTGACAGCAATTTTTATCAAAAAATTTCAAGTTTCAATAAAAATCATTATTTAGAAACTAAAAAACGTAAAATAAGGAATTCTGACGAAACAAAAACAAAGAAAAACAATTCTTTTTTGTCGCCATTTCTTAGTGCTACGAAAATTCATCTTTGGGATTTGCCAAAAACAAAACAAGAAGCAATTTTAATTTTAAAGGAGCGAAATATTTTACCGCAAAAATGAAAATGCATTAATTCCCACGACATGAAACTTTATCTTGGTAAACGTCCGTTTCGGAAATGTTATTTCATTTGGAATCTTATTTATCAGAGTTCATATGGCGATATGATTGTTTTGAATCTATGCTAAACTCTATATCGGCTCATTTTTTATCGAAATCCGATTGACTATTTCGATTTTAAATAAAGTGTTTTATTTTATGATTTGTCGCAAAAATTTTAAGCATAGATTGGCGGCACTTAAAAACCGCCAAATCTGTAGCGGCGGTGGCGTTAATACGTAAGTACCGAATTCGTATTCCATACTTTTCTGAATCATATTACTTGAAACATTAGAATATATAAAAAGTATACATAAACACATAATGTTATATCATTTAATTCTTCAAAAATATTTTGAGAACAATTTTTATCAAAAAATTATAAACTAAAAAACGGAAAATAAAGAATTCTTAGGATAAAAAAAACGATTTTAAGAATTATTAACATTGAAATAAAAACTTTCATATTGTTTCTTTTTTTATTATTCTTATAGTTCTTAATCAGACGTAAAAAACCATTCTGTAGAGAACCATCATCAAATGAAAAAAAAATATTTACAAGCAAATTTTTTATTGTAAAAATCATTGCACTTACCTGATTTATGATTCCCGGAGAATTCCAAAATGATAAGTTCCTTGTTTGAAAACTTTATTCTCAAATAATAGATACATAGTTTATACCTTCATTACTTTTAGATAACATACTACACAGCAAAATTTTATAATTGATATGAATTTGAATATGTAGCTAAAAACAGAATAGCTGAATTCTAGTTGAACTTATTCTTTCAAAATTAAAAAAAACTTACCAAGAAAACGATTTAAATTAATTAAGAATCAGCACAAATGGCACTATTTCAAGTAACTTGGATAATTTTTTATTGTTGTTTTCCGAATTATATGGATACAGAAATATATACTATTCTATAACGAAGAAGAATACTCTATAACTATTACAGTTCTGTACGTTCTGAATTCACATTTATTTATTGGAATGACGAAAGCAATGTTGACGTCACTTTAATTTGTAATGAATTGAAGACAGAAGAACTGCATTTTACCTTAATACACACATCTGTAACAGTATATAACAGTATGCAATAGCGAAATCGGAAGTTATCAGTTGCAAGTTTGTTGATAATAGAAGTTTAAAATTATTGAGAAATTTTTCTTCAAATGTACGGCGTGTTCTGGGTGTGAAAGATATCTCAATATTCTGGAGATTTTTTTCAAGTTCTTCGGCGTTTCCTTAGGGAAATTTTGATTTTTATTTACTGCTCAGAAAATGGCGTCTGACTCTGCCAATGATTTTGATGGAGCTAAATGAAAACGTGATAAATTAATGTCTGATATTTACAGGCTTCCGCTAGAGGGCGTACTCGAGCGTTGCGATCGCGAATAGGACGTATCGTGCAGCTCACAGTATATGTGAGTAGTTTGAAGAACACCAGGATGAGTTTACCGTATTCCTATAGCCACGAAATATTCCCAACCTAAACATAATTGAGAATCTGTGGAAATCAACAATTAACTTTACTCATGGCACTTGTGGGGTTGGAGTCTAGGGCTGATGGCTCATATGGTGCCCTAAATTTAATACATATCAAAACTAAAGAAATATTAAGTTACCAGATATTAAATGACAATTATTTATAATAGTGTGCTATTATTTATCTTCAGTTCTCTATCCATTCCTATAATCCACATGCGTTGACATACTTAAACTAATGAAATTAAGCGCCATCTATAAATTATGCTAGCAGAGTTTTAAAAAATGTGTCCTAATGATTACATTGAAAAATTCCCTTGATGGCAACAAAACACAAACAGTTAAAGAAAAAATGGATGCCTCCGTAAATGGAGATCCTGTTAATGTCTGTGTTCAAAATAATATAAATTCTATTGAAAAAGATACATTAAATTCTATTTCACCCTCAAATGACAGCGAAAGCTCTGACGAATTCTTAGAGACATGGGGTTTTAATACTGATGAATTGTATTCATTAGCTACTAAATTTCTAAAAGGTTTGTTTACATTATTAGCTGTGATGTGGAGTTTTTTATTTTTCAGTGTAGCTTGTTTCTTAATTAAAAATTTAACTTGCATTAAGTCTAATAAATAGTTTAATAAATTCCGGTATTGGTGCTTGTTTTAATTTTGCATGCGATATTTCTTCTGAATTATTTATGTATAAAAATTGTAATTATTAATAAATATTTTATCACTGAAAAATTAGTTCTGTGTGAAACATAATTTTATATTAATTGCTTTAAAAGAAGGCTTGTTTATTACCACTGTCATATATTTAAATGTAATTCTCAATGTAGAATTTGTTTCAAGTTCTTTTATTATTGCCTGCAAACTATTTCATTATGAGAGAAGTAAACAGTAAAATGTTATGCCGTATTGTATGTAGTATAGTTTTTCTAAAGGTAAGAACTCCCCTAGCCATTCGTCTGGACCCATGTCGGTGACTAGGGTAATAAGGTTTAACTATTTCAAGTAGGGGTGTGGGGTGACAGGTATTGGCTCGGGTCTGCGAAAGAAAGGGAATCTTTCTCTTCGATCTATTGTGTCAGTCCGAGAGTGAAGAGAAGCTACCCTCCTTGAAATGCACTATTCTTGTTTCCATAACAGCGGACGGCCTCAGATTTTGTGGCGGGGAGAGTTCTTATCCTAGACAAACTATAAATGCGCTTGAATCCATCCAAATCTCTGGTAAAAATATTACAGCTATAATCATCCATACAAATTTCTGATAAATATGTTACTGCTCTAATCTAAAACTTTTTCTAAATGCTCAAGATATATTAATTAAATTTATCAGTTGTCTAATCATTCTTATGATTATTTGTAATGCACAAAAAACTTTTGAAATAGTACCACTTTTATCTTTGATTATTAGCTTTCAGTTTTTCATGCCAAAAAATAAATCTGCCAAATGATTAACTCGCTTGTTTACAAGTTGATTTGTCATTATCAGAAGAAGATATTTGCAGATATGTGTTTCATTTACTCTTTGTAGAATTATTGCTTGCAGTCATACTAAGTTCAATTGATCTTCTTCTACTTGAAAATGTATAATAATAATGACACATAATAGTTTTGAAAAACTCAGTATAAGGAAACCTCTAAATTCCTGTTATGAAACATTTGTTCATTACTTAAATATTTTTTTCTTAGTAAATGTGAATGAATAACTACAATATATCATGATATTGTTGTGCTTAATATTAAAAATTTGTTCTATTTTAATGTCAGAAGCTTATAACAAGAAGCAGCTCTCTGTAACTGTCCTTAACTGGATCGCTTTGTTCTGCGAAGCATTTCCCAGTGCTACAAGATGAGCAGAGCATGTTCAAAGTATAGGAAATAGCAAATATATTTTAAAGCTTTAAATAAAAAATGTTTTTATTGTAAAGAATAGGAAAAATGTTTCATTGGTATCACTCTTGGTGTGTTAAAAAAAATCCCTGGAACTGTGATGATTTTGTTCATCACCGTTCCAGGGAAACATTTAACAGTATAATAAAAATATCACCATTAATGTATCAGTTTTGTGTTATTCCCCAAAACCAATTTGTGTAAAAAATATATAATTAACAGCCAATTAATTAACTGTTCGAATGTTAACCAAATAGATCAAAACAATCTTGTCACTTTCATAAAATTCATGCGTATTCGAACCAGGTAAAAAAAAAAAATTGTAAAAATCTAGTTTAATTATGCCAAAATAGAGTAACAAATTGTAGATTTGTACCATTTACTTTGAATTTATTTTTATCAGGGTTGGAGTTTTTGTCGGCAAAAAGGGGTTTTTGCCAGGACAGTGGTAAAAACCGACAAAAACCAAATTATCTAAATTGCTGATTAAATATTATTACAAAATACTTGAAAAAAATTTAAATCAATCATAAGGAATAATAATTTTGATACATTACATGAAAAAATTATTTTTAACATATTAATAATTAATATAAGGGTAATAATTTTTAAAAGATTGAAAGTTTTTGATCTCTTTTCATTTTAGAATCCTAAAATAAATGTTTTTTTACAAATAAATAAATATTATTATTTGTA